ACTAACCAAACCAGTGGTAGCAGTTGACATCTGAGTCAGATGACCGCCTGTATTACTTGGGATAAATGCAGGGGGTACCTATTGAGTTAATAGCCAACAAACATTGGCGAATCAAGGGGACTAGCCGGCCTCCGTCGCCTGGTACCTCTACTACTCAATCTAGATTGTGACGAAGACTAAGTAACTCTTATGTTAACTTAATAGTCACTCAAACTTAGTATGGAGCCTAAAAGGTATGAGTCGTCCGCCTGTTTTTAACAAACAGGGGCTCTCAACCACTACTCTTGCTAGGTTAACAAATTACGAGTTAAAAGCCAACATTGGCAATAAAGGGAAACAACCGGTACCCGCCGCTTGTTATCCTACTTAATTCCTTGGCGACTAGGTAATACTATTTACTTGGTCGGACCGATTGAATAAATGGCCGACTGATCGCCCATCTTGGAAACAGACAACCAGTCGTCCAGGGGCATAGGCGGACCATCCGTACCTGTCTACAATCGGCCATGCAAAACAGTCGATATAGTTTACAATGCAATATCAAATATTCAACACTTACACAAATTTCAAGCAAAAAATGATTGCATTAATGAAGATAAAAATATTCAGAACCCCGGCCCCCTGGCCGGGTAAATACAATCAAACGGCACGCAGGCCGTGGAAAGAATACATAAAGCTTAAGAAGGGGGCAGTTCAGTATTAGCAGTTGCCGCCTGGTCAGCACTCTTCTTGCTGGACTCGGCTTCAGCTGCACCCTCTTTTGATGCCTTACCCCCAAGTGGCACAAGCGCCACAACCGGCTCATCCTCAACCAAGGCTTCCTCCAACGCCTCGTCCTCAGCAGCCGCCAGGATCTCTTGATTATATATTTCAGAACACTGACGGTACGTTTTTTCCCACGAGGCAAAGTCGGCACTGGGGAAGAGGCGGCTCCAGGTCATGCGCTGGATCTGGGAAGAGTCTTCAATCATCTCTCGGACGAGCTCTCTCTTCTCTTGCTCAGCCTTCTCCGTGAGCTCTCTCTTCTCTTGCTCAGCCTTCTCCGAGAGCTCCTTGGTTAGACTCCTCTCCTGGGTCACCAGGCGTTCTTTTACGTTAGCCAAGGATTTTTCCATGGCATCGTATGAGAGTATCTTTTGGCGGAGAGGTTTAAGCTCGGCCTTGAGGTTGGAGACGGTCGCCTCCAGCTCGCTGTTCCGCTTCTGGGCCGCCTCTAACTGGGCCCGGATAGCAGCGGTTGCCTGCGCCTGATAATAAAGAATATCAATTGTCAGAACTTCATTTTGGGCAATTTGAAACATTGCCTTGTCACAGTTAGAGGCGGCCATAGCTTTTGCAGCCTTTACCTCTTTGTTTTTCCGATCAAGCGGCTTGCGAAGGCCGTTCACTCGGAGCAGGGCCTAAGTAAAAAGGGAACAGACGTCAGTTTCCAAACAAGATAACAGGCGTCTTGGAACTCAAATACAAAAAATGCCAAGTATACCTCAGCAAGGACCCCTGCAATCCCATCAAGGTCAAGGGTGCCGACACCTCTGACCGCCTCCCTATCAGATGGAGGAACTGCTTTGATCATGGACTTGGCTACCTCTACCAAGTCAGGTTCCTGAGGGCCGGCTGCATCAAGCGTAAAAAAGCAAGTTAGACCTACTCAAGAAGAAAGCAAGTGAAGGTTTTTACAAGTAATTGTCCATACATCTAGGCGGCCCCGCCGGAGTTTTAGAAGGAGTGGCCGGCTGCTTTTCAGCCGCCCCTGTTTTCCTGGAAGACCCAGGAGAGCTTGCAACAGTCGTCCTCCGGGCCTTGGGGTCCGGCTGTTGCGAGGAAGAAGCTCTTGGAGTGCCCGACTGAAAAAAAAAAAAAAAAAAAAAAGTTAGTATATGCATAAGACAACAATTCCTAAAAGAGGAAGAGTTTCGAGGCCTACCAAGGGTGCCCCCTTGTTGGGGGAGTCGGTACAGGACTGTTTCATGAGAGAGGCCCGCAACATGGCCGCCGCAGTCTTGGATGCTGTTATTTTACTCATGGCGTCAGCTGCAAAAAATAAACAGCAAAGTTAGTAAAAATCTCAAGTAAACAAGGCGTGAAAAAACAAAGTATTTGACAGGCCGGCTACCTCTAGAGCACCGACTGCTGAGGCCACAGGCGGCCAAAAAGTACTCATCATAGAGCCATTTGAAGCTCGGGACGCAGTTTAGGGGTACTTGCTCTCGTACCCCTGAAGTAGAGTTCACCCTAGTCTCTACTTTGAAGAGTCCTTTGTCTAGGATCTCTCTTTTAGCCTTTGGGGGAACAGGCGGCATGCTGCGGCCGCCTGCGAGAAGAGGCGGATCCCTATTCCACTTGTTAAAACGTTGGTTCAGCTCCGTGTCTGAACCCTCAATGATAAGGAAGGTGTTCCGCCAATCCTTCCATTTGTTCGCTTTACCTCTCGTCATGAGGTAACCCCTATGGCTTGTTAACTGATACCAGCCGGTACCTCCCGACTTAGGGGTCCGGCTGAGATAGTTCATGTGGGCGAAAGCCTCAAAGCTTGGCTCCACCCCGTATATTTCGCACCCGGCCACATAACCGAGTACGTTTACCCAAGAGTTGGGGGCTAACTGCCATAACCCCAAATCATACCCATCTAAAATCCGCTGAACAGCCGGATGTAATGGGAAGCGCAGTCCAGCTTTGATGGCCGCCTCATAGCAGCCAAAGCAGCCGTTATCATAGCTGGTACCAGCCGGCCAGACGACAGTGTCCTCTGGATCCGGCACAAACAGTAAAAATCCGGGGCCCATTCTGTGGTTAGCTATAAAGCTCTCCACTTTGTCTTTCATGGCCGCAATCCGGCCCCGGGGTACAGTGCAGTAATAGGGGGTGTTTTCCTCTCTGTGAGAGGCGGACGGCTCCGCCCAATTGTCCCCTTTCTCAACTGCATGAGAAAGCCTCGCCTCTTGTAGGCGACTGTTTCTTTCTTCTGAGCCTGGAGAACTGTGGCCAGAAGAGCTGGACTCGGACTCATCCTCTGACGAGTCCGAAGAGGACGACTCCTCCCCTCTCCCAGAGGGGCCCGCCTCCTCTCCCTTAGAAGGAGCGGGAGGAAAGTTAGACATATCAACGGTAAAATGGGAAGGGACCACCTTGCCCCCTCCCTCAGAACTGTCGGCTTGGCAGCCGCCTCGTTTCAATTCTACATCTGGCGCCTGGTCAGATGTTTCACTAAGGAGCACCCTTTGGGAGGAGCCGTCTGAGTTTGATATCATGGCAGTCTTTTTGGTTCTGGCCATCACGTTCTGCATAGACACAGATACAGTCGGACTTTGTATAAAGGGCAAAGATGGGTCCAGAAAAGGGCAGGCGGCACTCCTAGTCCTAGATTCAGCCGTCCCCGGTGACCGGCTGATCACTAACTTAGGTCGTGTCGTGTGCTTCCGTGGTGCCATTTTAAAAAATAAAAAGAAAATTAAGAGTAAGGGAACTGAGTTACCTGAACGAGTGACGGTTGATGAAGTTCTGGAAATCCGGGTCAGTCGGCTTGTCAGAACAGGCGGTAGGCAGAAAATGTCAGAAATGTCAGAGCAAGTTCAGGGGTCCGAATGTTCTCGCAAAGTTCTCAAATGTGAAAATGACCAAAGTCAGCACTTCCTTATATAGGCAAAGTGAGAAGGCGAAGGGTCGCTTCCAAATTCAAAATGTGGGCGGGAAAATCTCTCGGCCATTTGCAAGGTGACACCTGCAGCAGGCCGTCGCCTGTCACCATGCGACACCTGTCACAGGCGACACGTGACCAGTCACGTGCCACCTGTGAGGGGCAAATGATTAGGGGATTTTTATCCTCCAATCACCTTCTGACAAGTGGGCCAACCAGGTTCCGCCACGTGTCCTTCACGTAGGCCAATAGGAGCCTGCCACGTGTCAATCACAGATACGTCCTCTGCGGACCAATTAAGGCACGCCACGTGCCCACCCATGCCAAATGGGAAAACCGGCCACCAAGGCCCAATCCTGTTTAGAGGCCCGGTCAGCCCTAGGTTTACCCTAAACCTAGAGAGTGGCACGCTTCTCAAGACTATAAATACTCTTCTTAATCCTCATTAAGGAGAGAGAGGAAAAAAGAGACAGAACGCTAATCACACACGGATTATACATTAAACACTCTCACCTAGAGAGACTTAACTACTTTAATTTACGCACTCATTACTCCTTAATCAGGTACTAACTTGACCGTTGGAGGCGGAGCTCTCAGGAAGTCAGGAGTCTCCGTTATTTTGCAGGTACAGGCGGCCGGTTCCAGTCTCGGTGTTGTAACTCTCCCGCAGGACATCAGAAAACCCCGAAACATTTGGCGCCGTCTGTGGGGAGAGTACTTCTGAGATGGCATCCAAGTCTGTACCGACTCCTGAAGAGAGGCGTCCCCTAAACGACCCTCAGGTTCAGTCGGACCATGACACCGAAAGTGAATTTGAAGTGGAAACCCTAGCCACCACCTAACAGCTACCACCTAACAGCTACGACCAACCCCACCACCATCCAAACCCAGACCAGAAACAACCGCCACCCAGACGCGAAACCACCCCGACTCAAAACCACCACCACCCAAACCCAGACCAGAAACAACCGCCACCCAGACGCGAAACCACCCCGACTCAAAACCACCACCACCCACCAGAAACCACGCCAGCCAGACGCGAAACCATCGCGACTTGAAACCACCACCACCTAGACGCGAAACCCACACGAAATTCCGACCAACCGAGGTAGTTGATTTCGTTGCTGGTTGGTTGACATGGAAGATCGGGGAAGATGAAGAAGAAACGTCAAAAATGTGGCCCCTACTAACGGATTCATGGACGGAATCTGGTAGTTGGTGGTAAAATCGATTTTTTGGAAATTTTGGTGGTGGTAAAGTAAATTTTTTTTTTTTTTTTGGAGGTGGTAAATTCAATTAAGTGGTTATTTGAAGGTGGTAAAAATCAAAATTTTCTTTAAATAAATACGGAGTAAGGGTAACACTATTACTCTGCCCTCCTAGCTTGTTTCCATTCCCTTACATTTACTAATTTGCTACGGAACACCCCATTACTCTCAGTCCTCAGATTTCCTTCTCCTCGCGACTGTAACCAAAACAGATCATATATCTCCCTAGCTCGTTTGTCCATCAGTAACGCGTACGACGACTGCAGCTGCTGGAATGCCGCAGTCCTAGCAGCAATATCATCATTAGCTTGAACGTTATTACTGCTGCAATCAGAGTTTCCTTTTCTTTTCCTCATGATTGTATCAGGATGTAATTCTAGAGCTTTTTTTTGATAAGCTGTCTTGATCTCTGCTTGGGTTAATTTCGTGCAGTCGAATTCCACAGATGACAAACCAAGTACACTATAATGATCAAGATCCATCTTCAGTTAGAATTATTCAAATTTGGTATTATGATTAACGCTTTGCTAATATATATATAGAAGATTTTCACCAAAAAAAAAATAAAAAAAAAAAAAAATAAAAAAAAAAAAAAATAAAATAATAGAAGATATATATATAGAGATATCCAAGGTTTTTACCTTGGCTAGGACTTCTAAAGGCGGCAGAATTTTTAATTTTTTTAGAAATTTTTTTTCCTTATTTAAATTCCGTTATTTATTTATTTAAAAAATAGTACTCCGTAAAATATTCAGATAATTACAAATAAAATATGTAGTTTGATCATTTATAAAGAATGATTTTGATCCTAAACGCGGAATTAATTTTTTTTTTTAAAATTTATTTTTAAATGTCTTTGTTTGAGACCTTGGGGATAAAATTTGATAAAATCAAATGAAGCCGTGCACGGTTTGTTAGTATTTTTTTTAAAAAAAAAATATTTTTCATGTGATTAAAATTGTTATTATATTAGTTTTAAAATATTAGAGATTTTAAAGTTTAAATTAATTAAATACAAAATATTAAAAGATAATATTTTGTATTTAATTAGTTTAACTTAAAAATCTCATTCGCCAATTTTGCTTAGGGTGACATTTGAATTATCTAATTCTATAAGAAAATAATAATCTCTTATTTGATTGGCTACAACTTAAATTTATAATCCTACGTGACACGCTAAGAAAATTAAATCCTACGTGGCTTTCTAAAAACTCGGGAAAAAACTCCCCTTTTGTTATGAAAAATCTAATATATATATATATATAAAGGGGAATTTTTCCCAGAGATTTTAGAGAGCCACGTAGGATTTTTTAATTTTAAAAAAAAAATAGAGCGCCACATATTTATGTGTGCCATGTAGGATGAAATAAAAACAATAAAATGAAAAATTAAAATTATCCTACTAAAGTACTAAGCTAATAATTTATCTAATTATTTCAAATAAAATATGTTAATCCTTTAAAAATTTATTAATTATACCCTAAATTTATTAATTCTACCCTACCATGATCTTTCTATGGTTCAAAGAACTATACAAAAAAAATAAAAAAAATTAAAATTATCATACTAATCTAATGATTTATCTAATTATTTCAAATAAAATATGTTAATCCTATTAACAAGTTTTACGAGCTTTCAAAAAAGTGATATTAAAAAAAACATAATTACAAAAAATCATAATATATGATTATTGTTATCCCAAATATCCAAAATCACGTAAATATAGTATGTATAAAAACAAAAAATAAATAAAAAAAAATTATTCATATAGATAACAACTAAAAAAATGATAAAATTTTATATTAACAAGATAAATTACCGTGGCATAATCATGTGATTGGTGTCGTTAATAAAAACAACATCGATTTGGATAACAATTAAAAAGGATTTTATAAAGAATGATAAAATTTATGTGGGGAAGATATGATGTATTGTATTTTCTTATAAATAGGCCTTAATTTAATTCACAATACATAGAAAAATATTAATTGTTTATTTTCATAGTCGGAGATCCCAAGATTTATGGCTACACAAAGTGAAATTAAATTTATAATACCTTCGAGGATGCGATGGTAAACAAAGATACAACTAAGGTTGGAGATGGGAAAAAAATCAATCTTGGAATAAGATAATCCTGTCAGTGTCTGATAGAGTATAAAACATATTCCTAAGCTGATGGTTGAGTAGGTCCTCTAACATGGTATCGGAGCCAGCGTTTTTTTAATTTTATAATCTTTATTAATATCATAATAATAATAATAATTATTATTATTATTATTATAATAATAATTATTATAATAATAATCTAATATATATAAATAAAGTAGGCATTTTTGAGGAGAATTGGGAGCGCCACATAAGAAAAGGTATATTTTCGACCAATCAAAAATTAGATTTTTATTTTATTTTAGAATTAAAAAAATCACTCGCCACCTAAACAAAAGTGACGAATAAAATTTTAAATTTTTGCCAGGTAAGTAAAAACGACGAATAGTAATTTATTAGGATTTTATTTATTTAAGAACACTAAATTTTATCATTTTTATTTGTAACAAAACTAAAAATTATCTTTAGATATTAGGATTTATATTATTTAAAAAACTAAAAATTATCTTTAGATATTAGGATTTATATTATTTAAAAAACTAAAAATTACATTTTGATATTTAATTAAAAAATATAAATTATCACTTGATGTTAATGGTTTTAAGTAAAAACGACGAATAGTAATTTATTAGGATTTTATTTATTTAAGAACACTAAATTTTATCATTTTTATTTGTAACAAAACTAAAAATTATCTTTAGATATTAGGATTTATATTATTTAAAAAACTAAAAATTATATTTTGATATTTAATTAAAAAATATAAATTATCACTTGATGTTAATGGTTTTATGTAAATATCTGATGATATGATACTTTGATACAAAATTTTAAAACTTATAATGCAAGAAAAAATAAAGTAGGCATTTTTGGAGAGCATTGGGAGCACCACATAAGAAAAGGTATATTTTCGACCAATTAAAAATTAGATTTTTATTTTATTTTAGAATTAAAAAAATCACTCGCCACCTAAACAAAAGTGACGAATAAAATTTTAAATTTTTGCCACAGGTAAAAACGACGAATAGTAATTTATTAGGATATTATTTATTTAAGAACACTAAATTTTATCATTTTTATTTGTAACAAAACTAAAAATTATCTTTAGATATTAGGATTTATATTATTTAAAAAACTAAAAATTATATTTTGATATTTAATTAAAAATTATAAATTATCACTTGATGTTAATGGTTTTATGTAAATATCTGATGATATGATACTTTCATACAAAATTTTAAAACTTATAATGCAAGAAACCAAAAAAATATTTATATACAAAATGTATATAAAAATTTGTGCATCACACGCCACATAAGCAAAAGTAATATTTCGACCAATGAAAAATTAGATTTATATATTAATTTAGAATTTTAATTTTCAGTGGCCATTTAAGAAAAAATTAACAAATGAAATTTGAGAATTGAAAACAAAAAATAGTAATTTAAGATTTAAATTATGAAAAAAAAAAACAAAAATTATCTTTTATATTATTTTTTACATTAGGATTTATATCATTTTAACAAATAATTAGAAATTAAAAATATATTTTGATTTAATGATGAATGAGATAATATTTATTTCAATTTATAAATTCAAATTCTATATACGTAAAAATTAACAAAATATTTTACCTTAAATTAATGTTAAAATAATAGAATAGAAAATAAAAACAAAAAATATTAAGAAATTAAAAAAAAATATATACAAAATGATATACTTAAAAACCGTGCATCACACGGGATTACATCTAGTAGTAATAATAATAATAATAATAATAATAATAATAATAATAATAATAATAATAACAACAATAATAAATGTCTTTTAGTTTATGATTTTATCAATTTTTAATAATAATAATTATTATATAATAAGACACAAATCTAAAATAATATTAAAAATAAAGCCGTGCAAAGCACGGGCTTCACACCTAGTATCTAAATATGGATGACTATTATCCCATGTACTATCTAGAATAATCTAGAGTTGGGTATTTGGTCTTATCCGTTGATGGAACCCTAGGTAATGTACATGTATATATATATCCCGTCTTAGGTAATGTGTTCCATATTTAACACATTATAATTTGATATGTATATGTTTGATTTTTATGAGATCTAATTTTGAATATTTTTTATATATAGTGAAAATGTCAAACCTTGTCAAGCTTGAATTTGTGGCCCTTGATATTACTGGAAAGAACTATTTGTCATGGTGTTAGATGCTAAAATACACCTAGATGCTAAAGGGCTTGGTGAAACAATTAAAGAGGCTAATGAGACAACACCTCAAGATAAGGCTAAGGCCATGATATTCCTTCGCCATCACCTCTATGAAGGACTTAAAAATGAATATTTGACTGTGAAAGATCCATAAATCCTTTGGAGTAATCTAAAGGAAAGGTATGACCACCAAAAAACAGTGATACTCCCTATAGCTCGTTATGAATGGTTGAATTTGAGATTGCAAGATTTTAAATATGTTAGTGAATATAACTTAGCTATGTTTTAAATAACTTCTAAATTGAAATTATGTGGAGAAAATATTATTGATGCAGAAATGCTTGAAAAGACATACTCCACCTTCCATGCAAATAATATTGTCCGAGAAAAAGGTTTTAAAAAATATTCTGAATTAATATCTTGTCTTCTAGTGGCTGAGCAAAATAACGAGTTGTTAATGAAAAATCATGAAAAGTGATACCAATATATGTTACCATTGTGGAAGAAAAGGTCATTGGTTGAAGATGGTGAAGGTGATTTTGATGATTTCCTTACTTCCCCGGAAGGGAATAATTTTGATTTTGGCTATACAATTTATTTAGAAGTTGCTGATTTCTTCACTGCCCCACAAGGGAATAATTAAAATTATATTGTTTTGTGTCAGTTTTAAGTATTAGACTTATGTTTGCTTATTCTAGTGATTTACTGAAGTTTATTTTTTTCGTTGTAATAAGGACTTTTGCTTTATAAATTTATGAACTATTTGAGTGTTTTTATTGGTTTATTTATTTTATCATCTTTATTTTTATGCTTAATATTTTGACATGTATTTTATTTCATGAAGAACATGGTATTACTCAAGTTCAATTTGCTATGAATGGTGAAGAATAATGTCTTGCTGACAGTGCAACTACTCATACAATACTTTTAAAAAAATATTTCTCTCATTTGATGATGAAAAGGATTAATGTGAGTACCATATCGGGTAGTACAAATATATATATATCATTGAGGGCTCCGGAAGAGCCACCATAAAATTGCCTTGGGGAACTGAAATTAAAATAATTGATGCTTTATACTCCCCATTGTCTCAAAGAAATTTATTAAGTTTTAAGGATATTCGCAATAACGGTTATCATATCGAAACAATC